GCTAAATCTACATGGGGTAAGTTATTCTAAAATTACAAGCTAAAGAAAAATACTTACTGAAACAGGTTTCATCACGGAATGCCATATGTACAGAATGTGGTAAAAATTTAGCAAGTACAATATAAAATTTAACAAGTACAGTATAACTAATTTCCTATGAATTTAAACCAATATAACAGGCAATCCTGCCAAGTACTTTGAAGTGAATATTAGTTATCATATTATATGTAGAATCAGGGAAGGGTTTTAATTTGTAAGAACATATTATTCACTAGCTGAACAAATTCCATCTTAAAAAAAATTGTGGAATTGTAGGATTTCTAGTATAAAAGTAATAAAGCCTATCATAGAATGCAACTTCAGAGAACCAGGATACTAAAGAAATAAAAATATATCATCTGTAAGACAACCCATGTATTTTCTGAGGTGGTAGGACTAATGGAAAAGTTTTAAATATTAAATGTTATCTTTACAATGATTTCCAAAGGAAAAAAATTACAATAAACTTGCATCGGCATGTTTAAACGTTAAGTACAAATCACCTAAATAATTATTTGTAATTCACACATTTTTGTGCACATAAGATTTTAAAACTTTTTGACAGCTCTTAATCGAATGCTATTTTTCTTAAAACAGTGTATGCCCCTGAACGTTCACCCAGTATAAGATACAGAACTCATTATTTTTATCAAGTATCCCTTAAAAAAAAAACCACATTGGTATTTTTTATTTCTACTTGCAATGTTCTTTATGTAAACACAGAGGGATGGCCACTAATTAACTCAGATTTAACTTTCAGAAAATCTAACTAAAAAAAAGAGTAACCAACAAAACAAAAACAAAAACAAACCAAACAAAAAAAAGTCCCTATTTTAAAATCTTATATAATTTTGTCAGTGGTTTAGAAATTTTTTAACCTGCCATCTCCTCCTCAACCAAATAAAGATAGCATAGCCTCACTATTAATATGATTCCATGGAAGAGGGACTATTGTTAATAATTATTTTGTATTTTAAGAATGCACATATATAGGACAATGCACACAAGATATTTATTCACATTTCCGAATTCTTGCCCCACTCCAAAATAATTACACTGAGAGTTAGAATTTGCATAAGGAATCAAATGGACTATTTTGTAATCACTAATAGTTACTTATCATAATTTAAAATCCTTTCCCACAGCATTCCTTATTTCTTCACTGTTTTTTGATATTATTTGCAGAATGTGTAATAAATCAGTATATAACGAATGTAATGAACTAGTAGACACTGTGAGTTCTCTACAACCAAATGTTTTTTTTTTGTTTTTTTTTTGTTTTTTTTCAAATTAATGAGTTCTGCCAAACAGGAAAACAAATAGTCCAGTAAGGCTTTTGTAGCTATAAAGTGTATTTTAGCCTAATATATTAAAAAAATAAATGAATTGATTTTTTCTTTTAGACTTCATATGAATTATTTACATAACCAAAACCTATGAATTTTATAGTTTCCTAATTAAGTGTGGATTCTTATGCCAAATATTACACCTAATTCCTAAAATCAATAGGATTCAAAATTCAAGATTTGCACAGGAATATACTTTGAGTTTTAGGCATGGGAGAACTTACATGATATATAAAAATTTGTTCCTATACTCTCAAAGAAAAGTACAAAATATCAGGGAAAACACACCAAGAACAACTAGAAAAATCACAATTTGCAGCAGTCATTTAGTAATGGACAAAGATTCACTGTACCTCCATGACTAGTAATTGAAGTTGAATATTGTAATCTTGGATCAATCACCTTTTGTCCAAATCTTACACTTACCAATGTGGAAAAAATGTAGAATAAAATTATAGTTTTCCTCAAACAGAGTTGCTAACTCTGTTCTGAGTAGATCTTTTAGTCTCCAGTCATAAGATGCATTCACTTTAGAAATATTTTTAAAAATCATTTCCTAAATTTTTTTTATCAATTTTAATACTGAGGTAAAAAAAATTTTCTACAGGAAAAAGGGTACATATAATTTACAATAAAAAAGATCAACAGCTTGATTGTTTACTCTGGGTGAATTATAGCCTTTCGTTCTGATAAAAGCCTACTAGGATTTACTAGTCATTTTGGAAAGGCAGTTATTATATCTAGGATATTTCATGTCCTCCAAGAAGCTCTCAGGGGTGATAACTAAACTCAATGTAGTGTACTGTATTAAATATTAAAGACACTGGATAGAAAGGTAAAGTCTAATTCTAATGATTACTTAAAGAAAATCATCTTATATAATGCTATCTTTCTGAATCACTTAGTGGTAATTAACTGATTTTTTCATATTTACTCAAAATTTTATTTCCTCTTTTAGGACTTAGTAGAGGTTGATCAAACAATGCGTGAAGTTTATCACCAGTGTTACGTTATTTCCCTTGTCAAAGAAAATAAAGCTATATAAAAAGCACATTCTAGATTTTTAATTCTTTCCTGATTGTTTTCTTCTCAAATTTTTTCATTCATGCAAGAAAAGTTTACTGAACACCTATCACATGCCAAACATTACTGCAGATGGTGGAAATACAGTAGTGATTAAAGCAGATGAAAGGACTTATGTTCTAGTAGAAGTATAAACAGAAAAGCATATAAATAAAACATGTAGATGGTGTGTGGCAATAAATACTGTAAAGAAAAATAAGGCAGAAAAGGAGACAGGAGTAAAGGGATTAGAAAAGAGAAGTCTCAATTTTCAATTTTAATTATAGTCATGAAAGTGAAACTTGAGCAAAGACCTAAAGGAAGTGAGGGAAAGAGCTATAAGGATACCTGAAGAGCTTTCCAGCTGGAGAAACAGCAAGTCAAGGACTCTGAGGTAGCAATGTTCCTGTTATGTTCAAAGAACAGCAAGGAAGCCAGCAACAAGGCCAAGTGAGCAAGGGATATAATAAGAGATGAGGTCATCTAGGACCAGAGCATGTATAGACCCTTGTAAGTCGTTGCAAGAATTGGTTTTCATTGTGGGTCAAATGAGAAGTTCGTGAAAGGTCTGCAGGAAAGAAGTGACCTGATCTGACATGCCCTTTACAAGGATCATTCTGGCTGCTCTTTTGAGGATAAATTAAAAGTAGGAAGATTAAATGGCTCTTTTAATAATGAAGTAAGGGTTGCTGATGGCTTGGGTCAGAATACTCACAGCAGAAGTGGAAAAATAGTAAGGTTCTACATATAAAGTAATGGAAGAGCTGCCATGGATTTATTGATGGATTGGATGGGTTATGAGAGAACAACTGAAATCAAGAATAAGCATCAGGGATTAAACCCTGAGCAAATATAAGGATGGAGTTACCAATGACGGAAAGGAGGGAAACTGTTGGAGGAAGAGGTATGGTGGCAAGGGGCAGAAGAAAAATCAGGACCTCGGTTTTGAATGTTAACCCATAAATGCTTATTATACCTCTACACAGAGTTAGTGATTTTAATAGGCAGTTGGACACATAAGTCGAAAGTACTCGGAAAAGGATCCAGAATGCCAAAAGATATAATAAATTTAGGATATCATCAACAGAATCAGTATATATAAGAATGCCCAAATTGAGCCTTGATATTTAAATGATTACATAATAATACATTGAGCCTGAGATTTACAAGTAATATCCCACACCAAATTTTGTACAACAGAAACAAAAAGTAAGCATCCTTAGGTAACTACATTCTAAATATACATTCCCTGTGGCTTTAAGATCCAAGAAGTAAGGGAAAAGGAAAAGGAAAAGGAAAGGGAGAGACATTTAAGGGAAGAAAGGGAGACTAATAGACTAATATTTAATCTCATTCTGATTTCCACCAAAGCACTGCTACTGGAGAAAGGGCTGGCTAGGGATGTACACAGCTCTAAGCTTCTTGTGAGATTCATGCAAAAATATATTTGCATCATCCCTATCATGTGCCAGGCACTAAGTAAGTACTGAGTATTCAACGGTAAATGAAGCAAACATAAATTGCTTAAATATGAGGATGGATAAAAAGTACACAAGTAAGTATACAACTACAAATTGTGGGAAATGCCATGAGAACATAATATGGGGGACTGTTCTTAGATTGAGTGATCATACAAAGAATATAACATGAAAGCAAGCTTAAAATTTCTCTAAAAATCTAACTATTCAGTTTTACATAATTACATAATTGCCATACAAACCTGCTTTTCTCAAGGTTCTCTTCCTTTTTCCTTTAATTTTCCATTGTTTAGACATGAAGATTGCTATATTCTTGTAGTAAGTAGATGCTCAAAATATTTTATATAGTTTTTATAAATGAGCATTACATTGATAATTTGTTATTTATAGCCACACCCACGAAAAATATATTTTTAGCTCTAAATGTATTTTGTGAGTACCGAATTTATATACTCAAATTAATAAAACACTCATAGCAAAACTAATGGTAAGTTCTTAGTGGCTTAAGGACTGACAATAAGAAACATCTTAAATTTTATTTCATTAGAACATTTTCAGTAGCATTCCTACTTCACTCTCAGTAACTCAATATGATATAGTTCCATATCGAGTGACAAACTATGTTATTTAATAACCCAGGTCATCAAAGTCAATATCCCATTTTATTTATGAGACACCTGTGTCACGAGTAGCCACCAAAAAAACACACAAACAAACCCAGTGTTTGCTCTCGGGTGTAAAAATGAGAGAACCTAGAAAAGTACACACTACCTATAAAAGGAATACTTAATACTATGTAACTGAAAAATTAACTATAAGCAAAGATCTTAAATAAAATGTATATAAGCTTGCTGCATAGACATTTTGACATTTCTTCAAGTAAAGTAACACCACTTTACATATGTGGTTCAGGTAGGGTTACTTTATTATATTTCATTTTGATTATTTGGAAAACCTCACAGTGAGGAATCTGTATATTAGCAAATATAAATTACCAACTAGAACACAGTGTTATTATGACTGTTGTTATAGGAATAATTTAAGTAACTCATTTTGCGAGTAGATAGTAACTTACCTGAAATGTAGATGACCTTTTGATCACTTCTTTGACCAAGGGAATTGGTCACTTTACAGACATAAACACCAGAATAATTGAAAGTCAAGGGATGGACAAAATGAAGAGTATTGTCTGAAGCCAATAAACCATCAGGCCACTGTCCATCCAACCTAGATTTTAAAAAGCATGAAATTATTTTAAGCAGCTTCAGACTTTATTCATTGATAGCTATTTAAATAAAATATTATACTTTTGAGATGTTAGTGATTCAAGAACTGGCATTCCTTAGGTAGAATTCACTATGAAATGGAAATATGTAAGATATGAATTTTTATTTCAGTAAGAATGAAGTAATTGATAAAATCCATTAAGAATACCCATTTTTTCAAAATAGCAATTGACATAAGGGCAAGAAGGCCAGCATATTAGAATGGGAGGGAAGGAAAGAAAAACAATTAGGTGATTTTAAAGAATTATATTCAGAAAACTGGAAAACTAGAAAAATATATTATTTGAAGACCTACAGTATCAAAAGAATTAAAAAAATAACTCTCAGTGACTAGATCTATTCATGATATATCTACAAATTTCTTAAGAAATTTAAGATAAAAGCCACTTAAGTACATGATAATGTTTTAGCACCTTCCATAACATATTTAAATATTTTTATGTAACATATTAAATATTTAACATATTCAATTCATACTGAGCAAATCTATACTGTGCCCCATTCAAAGACAGTTTCTAAAGCATCAAAAAGGGTCTTCTTATAAAATAATCTCATTTGTAAAGTGGGCATCTGTGACGGTAAAAACCAACGTGCCATTCTGCACCAATTAACAATTTTTAAAAATGGTGTCTATACTAATTTGGCTAAGAGGTCTAGTGTATGCATTACTATAAACCACAATAGGAATAAAATCCCACTATGACAACTCTAAAGCCATTCATTGCAATGGAACTAAGTATACTGTTATGCATCATACTGCCAACCTTAGGGTACCAAAAAACACACCAAGAGGCATTTATTTTGAAATTATTTTTAAAGCCCATTATTTTTTAGGGGAACAAAAAGTCAAGTAAACCAGGCACTCAACTATTACAGTTTGAGCTAAGCAGATTTTCAAATGGTTCATTTATTCATTCACTCAGCCATCCATTATTTAATTGCCAGGAGCTTAATATTAACCATACTCTGCTCTGCTGGTGTTGCTGAGATACAGAAGTAACTAAGATACTGTATTTGCTTTCAATGATCTAAGTACACAGAAGACTGACAACTAATTATGAAGAGAATAAGAACAAAAAATAATAAAAAGGTAGAAAGAAACAAAACCAACACTGGACAATAAGAGGAATGATTTTATTCTGCAAATCCAAAGGTCATAGGTGGAAGAACAGTCAATAAAATCTTTTACAGTGCAGGAACTTCATTTTACATTGAAGAAAAAGGTAATATTCTTACATGGTTTAAAAAACAAAAACACCCAACCTTCTAAAAAACTTTGATAAGAACATTTGTATAAGCACCGACTTTCAAAAGATGAACTTCTAGGAGGATGAGAATGAATATGGAGTATATAAATACCAATTATCTCTCTACATTTTGAGGCCCAAATTCTAATCCCTTTAATTCTGAGAAATATAAAAATGGCTTATAATCCTTTAAAGTTGCTTATTCAAACAAGCCACAGTTAAAAAAAAAAAATCTAAATATCACATTAAACTCACAGCAAATGACATGCTAAGCACCTTCTATACTCTTTTACCTATGTTACCTGGTTTATATTCATTGTCTCTACCCTTACAACTCTATAATTTACTATTATCAGTGAGGAAACAAAGGATTAGAGAGGTTAGATGTCTTATTCAAAAAGACATTTCCAAGTACAGATACTAGGAAGGGAACTTGAAATTGTATGACTTTTAGAAATAACATATCACACATCTTAACCAATGACTGCTTCCCACTTTTAAGAAAATGTAAATGAAAAAAACCTTCTCTACTTTAAAAACTGCATTTTTGCTTAAAGACAACAGATTGACCAAATACACTGTTTCCTTACTCCCACAAAATCCCACCTAAAACAAGAGTAAAGGAATTAAAAGCTATTAAAAACCCACTAGGAGAAAGAGAACAGGAGGCAGAATTCATCAGATAAGATGTTTCAACAAACTTTTAGAAGACAGAAAACAGACTGAGGAAACAATATATGCTATGAGCCACTGTTTCTCAGTCAAGAGTGATTTTGTCTCCAGGAGACAACTTGCAAGTCTGGAGACATTTTTGGTTTTCACAATGGGGTATGAGGCCAGGGATGCTGCTAAACATCCTGCAATTCATAGGATTGCCTCCCCCAAACAAAGGTTTATCCAGCTCAACATGTCAACAGTGCCAAGGATGAAAAGCTCCACGTTGGGCTGAAGAAGTGCTTCCAAGAGGCGTATGAATGGGAAAGCAGCCAATCTGGTCCAAGGAACCCAAGATTTGGAGTCTGACTCACTGTACTACTACAGAAGACCAGAGTGAAGCAGAGGGCTAGAATTATGGACATTAGCTGAAAGTTGAAAAAACAGACTCCTCTCAACTTTGTACAAATACTAGGCATTTATGTTTTAAAAAGAATGAAGGTTAATTCAATAAATAAACTGAATGGCCACCAAAGAGGACTTCCACTCTTCCTGAGTGACATCTGAAGCTTCCCCAGGGAAATAACTCTCTACCTGATAATTCTAAATGGTATCTACTAATGAGTAGTCCCCACTATAAAGACAGAGTTTCCACTCAGAATTTTAATACATTTTAATATTTTAATGCATCACTGTGAAATGACTGGACAACTGAGAAAATTAAGGAATATCTACAAAATGAAAAACCAAACAAAAAAACAAAGGAAGAAAAGAAGAGACAATAAGAAGCAGTAAAAACTCTCTGAAGAGGACATAACTTTAGTATTGTGTTCCTAGGAAGAAACAAAACATTACATCCATAAAATAAGAAAAAATGCAATGAAATGAAAGAGAAATAAGAAAATGCTCTTAGAAATTAAAAGTATGGGGGCTCCTGGGTGGCTCAATCAGTTAAGTTGCCAACTCTTGATTTTGACCCAGGCCATGATGTTCGTGTCCTGGGACTGGGCTCTGCGGGAGTCTGCCTGAGGATTCTCTCTCTCTCTCTCCCTCCCCCTTGGCCCCTCCCCCTCCCCCATAAATAAATCTTAAAAAAAGAAAAAAAAAGAAATTAAAAATATGCATGCCCCAAAAATGTTTTAAATCAATTAAGTCAATGGGGAAAAAAGTCAAGGAAATTTCCTAGAAAAAACAAAACAAAACAAAAAACTGAAAAATAAGAAAGCATGTTTAGTACACAATAAATAGGAGGTCTAGTAAAAGCAAATTAAAAAAAGAGGGGAAATGATTAAAAAAATGACAAAATTATACATAGTTGATAGATACAAGCCTCAAGACTAAAGGCGGGCCCCAAATACTAAGAAATACAAATGAAAACCTTAGTATAACAGTTTGAAATTTTACAGATAAAGAGAATTAAGGATATTCTTTGAGGCTAAGAATTATTAGGCTCAGGGAAAACAAAGATCTTAGACAAAAGAAAACAGAATTCCAGTATACTACTGGCAGTAAATAATATTTACCTGTCATAGGGAGGCAGATCAACGAAACCAGAAGCTGGTTCTTTGAAAGAATTAATAAGACTGATAAACCACTGGCCAGACTTAGCCAAAAGAAAAGAGACAGGACCCAAATTAATAAAATTATGAATGAAAGGGGAGAGATCATGACTAACACCAAGAAAATAGAAACAATTATTAGAAATTATTATCAACAACTATATGCCAATAAATTAAGCAACCTGGAAGAAATGGATGCCTTACTGGAAACCTATAAACTACCAAGACTAAAAAAGGAGGAAATTGACAACCTGAATAGGCCAATAACCAGTAACGAGATTGAAGCAGTGATCAAAAACCTCCCAAAAAACAAGAGTCCGGGGCCTGATGGATTTCCTGGGGAATTCTACCAAATATTCAAAGAAGACATAATACCTATCCTCCTGAAGCTGTTTCAAAAAACAGAAACAGAAGGAAAGCCTCCAGACTTATTCTATGAGGCCAGCATTACCTTAATCCCCAAACCAGGCAAAGACCCCATCAAAAAGGAGAATTTCAGACCGATATCCCTGATGAATATGGATTCCAAAATCCTCAACAAAATCCTAGCTAATAGGATCCAACAATACATTAAAAGGATCATCCACCATGACCAAGTGGGATTTATCTCTGGGATACAAGGGTGGTTCAACATTCGCAAATCAATGTGATAGAACACAGTAAGAGGAGAGAGAAGAACCATATGGTCCTCTCAACTGATACGGAAAAAGCATTTGACAAAATACATCATCCTTTCCTGATTAAAACTCTTCAGAGTATAGGGATAGAGGGAACATTCCTCAAGTTCATAAAATCCATCTATGAAAATCCCACAGCAAGTATCCTCCTCAATGGGGAAAAGCTGAGAGCCTTTCCCTTAAGATCAGGAACACGACAAGGATGCCCATTCTCACCACTACTGTTCAACATAGTACTAGAAGTCCTAGCTAGCAACAGCAATCAGACAACAAAAAGAAATAAAAGGTATTCAAATTGGCAAAGAAGAAGTCAAACTCTCTCTCTTCGCAGATGACATGATACTTTATGTGGAAAATCCAAGACTCCACCCCCAAATTACTAGAACTCATACAGCAATTCAGTAATGTGGCAGGATTCAAAATCAATACACAGAAATCAGTTGCTTTCTTATACATTAACAATGCAACTGCAGAAAGAGAAATTAGAGAAACGATTCCATTTACAATAGCACCAAAAACCATAAGATACCTCGGAATAAACCTAACCAAAGAGGTAAAGGATCTATACTCTAGGAACTACAGAACACTCATGAAACAAAATGAAGACGACACAAAAAGATGGAAAAACATTCCATGCCCATGGATCGGAAGAATAAACATTGTTAAAATGTCTATGCTGCCCAGAGCAGTCTATACCTTCAACGCCATCCCAATCAAAATTCCAATGACATTTTTCAAAGCGCTGGAACAAACAATCCTAAAATTTGTATGGAATCAGAAAAGCCCCCAAATCGCCAAGGAAATGTGGAAAAACAAAAACAAAGCTGGGGGCATCACAATGTCGGATTTCAAGCTATTATTACAAAGCAGTGATCACCAAGACAGCATGATACTGGCACAAAAACAGACACAAAGACCAATGGAACAGAATAGAGACCCAGATATGGACCCTCAACTCTATGGTCAAATAATCTTCAACAAAGCAGGAAAAAATATGCAATGGAAAAAAGACAGTCTCTTCAATAAATGGTGCTGGGAAAATTGGACAGCCACATGCAGAAGAATGAAACTCGACCATTCTCTAACACCATACACAAAGATAAACTCAAAATGGATGAAAGACCTCAATATGAGACAGGAAACCATCAAAATCCTAGAGGAGAACATAGGCAATAACCTCTTTGACATCGCCCACAGCAACTTCTTCCAAGATACATCTCCAAAGGCTAGTGAAACAAAAGCAAAAATGAACTTTTGGGACTTCATCAAGATAAAAAGCTTCTGCACAGCAAAGGAAACAGTCAACAAAACAAAGAGGCAACCCACAGAATGGGAGAAGATATTTGCAAATGACACTACAGACAAAGCGCTGATTTCCAAGATCTATAAAGAACTTCTCAAACTCAACACCCAAAAAACAAATAATCAAGTCAAAAAATGGGCAGAAGACATGAACAGACACTTCTCCAAAGACCTACAAATAGCTAACAGACACATGAAAAAATGTTCATCATCATTAGCCATCAGGGAAATTCAAATCAAAACCACACTGAGATACCACCTCACATCAATTAGAATGGCAAAAACTGGCAAGGCAAGAAACAACAGATGTTGGAGAGGTTGTGGAGAAAGGGGAACCCTCTTACACTGTTGGTGGGAATGCAAGTTGGTACAGACACTTCGGAAAACAGTGTGGAGGTTCCTCAAAAAATTAAAAATAGAGCTACCCTATGACCCAGCAATTCCACTACTGGGTATTTACCACAAAGCCACAGATGTAGTGAAAAGAAGGGCCATATGCACCCCAATGTTCATAGCAGCAATGTCCGCAATAGCCAAACAGTGGAAAGAGTCCAGATGCTCCTCAAGAGATGAATGGATAAAGAAGATGTGGTCCATATATACAATGGAAAATTACTCCGCCATCAGAAAGGATGAATCCCCACCTTTTACATCAACATGGATGGGACTGGAGGAGATTATGCTAAGTGAAATAAGTCAAGCAGAGAAAGTCAATTATATGGTTTCCCTTATTTGTGGAAATAAGGAATAGCATGGAGGACATTAGGAGAAGGAAGGGAAAAATGAAGGGGGGGAGGAAATTGGAGGGGGAGACGAACCATGAGAGACTATGGACTCTGAGAAACAAACTGAGGGTTTTAGAGGGGAGGGGGTTAAGGGATGGGCTAGCCTGGTGATGGGTATTAAGGAGGGCATGTACTACATGGAGCACTGGATGTTATACGCAAACAATGAATCGTGGATCACTACATCAAAAACTAATGATGTATTGTATGGTGATTAACATAACATAATTGAATTAAATTTAAAAAAAAGAATGCTTTTCACTAAATAATTTCCCTTTAGAAGTATGTGATATTATTACCTGCTCCACACAGATTTGAAGGGTGGTGGATTTGCATCAGCATTACACTTGAGATTAACACCTTTTCTTCCTACAAACCAATTCCCATCATAGCCTGTTACCGAAACTTCTGGAGCATCTATAGAATAAATACATAACAGTACAAATTATCTTTTGTTAATGATAAATGCAACATGTAATGACAAAGCATTAACATAATGACTAAACTTCAGAAGAACAGAAATCATTTTTCCTTCTGTCAATATACATAACTATTGTGGAAGACAGTAGTTAATAAATATTAGTTGACTGAAAGAATAAGTGCATGAATGGACAATGAGTACCCAAACACTAGGTAACTATACCAAGTACAGTTCTAGTTATTATGGACACTGAATATAAGGATATTCACAAACATATAATCACCAAGAACAACATATAAGAGTCCTATTATGAGAAGTGTAGATTTATGAACAAAGGAAATACATTATACTATTTAATTTGATGAGACATGGCATTTAAGTTCCAAGTCACCATATAAAACTGTCTTCAAAGAAATGTTTAATCGGAAAGAAAGTATCTCCTGAGAGATACAAAGTCAATTACAGAGATTAGATTCCCTGTATTACAATTAATTAATATTCTATGGGTAAGGAGAGATGTGACACAAACTTTCTAAGGCTATAATTACAACTAAAGTAAGTTATCTGTGGCCTCAACTGTTCTAAAACATTAAATTTTAACCATTCAATGCACCCAAACGTCTTTTGGTATATGTGCAATATAGTTAGTTAAATAAGCAATTATCCATATTTACCAGCAATATAAATTTATGCATTTAAACCATACAATCCAATATGAATCATTCATTAACATCATATTGTTTAACTCCTAATAAGTGGCAGGCACTGTTTTAGGCATTTGGTATAAATACAGACTCTGTATTCGTAAAATTTATTTTCCCATAGTTTTTAATAAGGAAGAGAATATTTTAAAAGTATTAAACTAAAACCTGTTATGAGAGCAAGAAGGAAAAGAACAGGATGATATAGAGAAGAAGAACCTAATTTAGACTGGGGATGAGGCTGAGGAAGGTCATGAAAGCTTCCCTAAGGAACCGTCACTTATGCATAGTACAGGGACCCTCCTGTGAGTTACACAGTAAACTAGATAAAGAGTACAGGATCAGATGGGAAGTTAGAGACCAGGTCAGTTCAATTCTGTCAGGTAAGCTTGATCTATTATCAAGCAATGTTTACAAAAAAGAGTAGTAAAAAATTAAACTAAATTAAACTAAAGTACAATTAATTACCTTAGTAATTTTAAGAAAGAAATGCCTGCCTCATAAATGACAAGAATTAACATTTTTGTAACTTACAATTGGTACTAAAAAATGTTGCTGAAAGAACAGTAGAGAGATCTGTGAGTTTAATTTCTTTTAATAGGAGGAGGGAATAGGTATTAAGGTAAGGTATCCCCAAAGAAAACCTCTAAATTTTGAGATCTGAACTTTGGATATAAGATTTTATCTCCTTAAACTTTATTCACATGTTTTATAGCTCCCAATTAAAAAGAGGAAAAAAATCATGAGTACTCTAAGAATATTTTAGGAGCAAGGCAATAAATCTAAGCCATAATTATGTAAGTCTTACATTAAAAGAAATATTTTTATATATTTAGGATTGCATTCAAGCAAACAACAACCAAAAAAGCATAATGTACATAATACAAATGAAGAAAATTTCAGTCAATTACTAGATACAAGGAAGGACATTATATTTAAGAAAAATATTAATAGTACTTACAATTGGGATCTGAATTTTACAAGAAAAAGGAAAAAGTTAAGAGTCTGTGAAAGTAAGGTAGGAAAAGGAAAAAGAGAAATTTTAATTGGATTCTCCAGAGAAGTGAAAAGAAGGTATCTGCACTCAAGAATAAAATGGTAGTAACATTCATGCAAGATAACTTCCCAAGTTCAACCCTATAAATGTTGAAAAAGAGTCTTAGAATTAGCTTTAGAAACCATTACATCAAGTGTAACGAATATGTGCAATTTAAAATTCCATGTATGTCATATCAAAAAATAAAACACTAAGAACAAAAACTGTAACGCCTCCTTTTAAAAACCTATTAATTTTCATTATCCTTGTTTTAAGTTACGTGCATTATCACTTTTTCTTCTGCTCAAAATTTTTAAATGCAACACAAAGAATGTGTCAACAACTGAGCTAACGTATAGGAAAAAGTATATACACATACGTATATACACATACAAACTTTACACACAAGGGAGCATCCCTTAACAAAAAAATAAAAATAGGAGACAGGCCAAGCTTTGAACCTTATCTACAATGGTTATTATCCCAATGATGTCTTTAAAATACTGTCTTACTATATGAGAATCTTACAACATGAACAGTAAAATCAGATGAGAAATAGTCCTGGAAAAACAAAAGATTTTCAAACTAATTAATATGCATCTAGGCAGTAAAAGATTCTTGCTGAAAACATCATGGGTAGCATGAATAAAACTGAGTAATAGTTAAATTAATCGAACTGGCAAAGTAGTTGTTTATCTCTAAGTATTGCACATTTTGAGGTATAAATTTCCACAATTTGCTTAAGTCCAGCCTATTTTTAAGATCTAAAAAGGAGAAGGCTAAATAATTTTAGGTTGGAGAGCGACTTTAAAGTCACTGTCCATCTTTACAAACTAATAAAAATGTTCTGGTTAAACGAAATTTCCATGAAGGTATTTTTAAAAATTAAGAAAAAAAAGGTCAATAAGGAAAAGATGTAAGAATATCTGAATATTAAATATTCAAACTAACAAGTCTGACATAGAATTAGTCACAGGGAGAAAGTTAAAATAAAATGCATGACATGTTTAAAAAGCAAATGTTATTGTTTACTTACACTGTATATCTAATATGAAAGAATATCGGATGTCCTTTTCCAAGGCTGGATGTTTTACAACACAGGTAATCCGCCTTCCTCTAGCAAATCTGGTTGGAAACAGCTTGTACTGGCTGACAACTGTTGCCGTTTCATTTGGAAAAGAAGTTGTAGTGGATTCCATTTCACCAAGATCACCTTCCCAGTCAATATGTGCAACTGGTTTTCCAGTGGCTGCGATACAGATGGCTGCTACCGTTTCATTTCCTCCATCAATTAAAGAATCTGGCCCTTTTATCAGGCTCACAGTGGGCTCAACTGTTCAAATTTTAAAAAATAATTAGTCACATTTCAAAGAAGAATATATTTACATCTTTCCAAGCCGTATCTAGCCATATTTCATAAACTTAGAGGCAAATGCATATAAAATCTACACATACGCTTTTAAGTAATGCCAACATCAGCTGGATTCTTGGAAGAGAAGATCATGAGCCAAGACAAACAAGAAGCTCAGCAAGACTTGAAACCCTTAAAGAAGGTTCTCCCTAGGAGAGATACGATTTTTCTTTATAGGGACCAATGAGTTTGCCCCAAAGTTAGTATATGAAAAATTCCTGTAAATTGGATAATTTTCATTATGAGATTTTAAATATTACTCTGAAAGGGGAAAAGATGTAGTTTTAAGACACAGTGCTTCATTTTGCAGCAAAAATGCTTATAGAAAATATAAATTAAGTTACCAGTATGGAACCTACACTGTTAAAATGTAATGTCAATAATAGTTACATTTATTAGAATGTGTATCCCATTATCTTATTCTAGTATAAGAAAGGTCCTTAGCAAGTGAAAGTAACCTTAATGTTTAGACCTTTCAATCTACTTTCCATATATCCTACCTATCTCTTCATATTTTCCAGCAAATTTCATGTGCTTCTTTCTACATAAATTCCTCAGTCTCACCTCATAAATTGTCTCAAGCCTACAGTTTATTCTGTATATTAAGTTTTTATCTCAATAACTTATTTATTTCCAAAATTTCCAAACGGTTTTCAATGCCATCTGTTCTTGATTTGTGTCTAACTATTTTTGTTTCATAATCTACTCGAGATACTAATATTTTCCTTATGTATTTCCTTATGTATTGTATAAGATGTATTACTGTAAAATAACAAAGGGGAAAGTACATACAACACATGTAATGAGTACTTTATATTGTAAACAACACACATCTTAATGAAAAACATTAGTACCTTCCAGGTCACTCAACATGCTTCTTGATCTTAACACCTACCTGCCCTAGTATGAAATCATTATACTGACTTTGGAAATAAATTTTTGCTTACTTTCCATGACAGGTCTACAAGCAACAACTACGAAGCTAAACAACAATGGCATTTTACCTGTTTCTGAACTTTACATGAATGGTATTGAACTATATGCATTTTTCTTTGACTCAACTTTGTGCTCCTGAGATTAATTTATTTGAGAATAATCAGACTTAATTTATTATTTTGGAATTCGGGGTTCTTTTTACTTTTAATTTTTAAATCATTTAAATTTCCACGCAATTCTATAAATTATCAACTGCTATACAGTTTATTTACCATTGGACATTGGTGCTATTTCCTGTTGAGTATAAACAATTTTACAAGAAACGTTCTCATTGGTGTATCGTGGTATATTTGTACAGGTGTTTCTCTAGTTTGTCCCTTGGAGTGGAATTGCTACTACTCTTTAATTTCAACTTTACGAGATAATGCCAAAAAGCTTTCCAAAGTAACAATTTACTCCCAATCTTAGAGATCCTATCAGTTCAGACACTCACCACAGTTGATACTGTCTGACTTCTCAATGTCTGTCCACCTTATATATAATGGCGTATTGTCGAGACTGTATTTTTTAATTTCTCATATTATGAATGAGGTTAAAGGTCTTTCCATGTTTAGGCCATTTGGAATTTCTTCTGCAAAATGCCTATTAAAGCCAACTGCTTTTTTTTATTGATTTGGAAGGAGAGCCCTTTTTTAAATGACATGTGGTAAAAATATCCTCTCTACCAGTTTAGGGCTTATCTTTTTGCCCAATGGTGTGTTTTGATGAGCAGAAGTTTTTAATTCAAATGTACTAAAATTGATCAGTTTTTAATTTCTTTTATTGTTAACTGCTTTTATACACTAAAAATTACTTCGCTACTTTAAGGCCAATTACTATGTGATTTTTTTATAGTTTCCTGCAGAAATTCTATAGATTGACTTATCTCTTCAAATGTTAAATGATGCTGTTTAATAGTCTGTATCTGATAATTCCAACATCCTATATCTTTGCATGTCTGTTCCTGTTGTCTTATTTGTGCTGGCTGCTCCTTGTGAGGTCTTCTTTACTTGTATACCTGCCGATTCAAGGAGACTATATGCCTGTGTTTGAATAACTAAGGTAGAAATAATGTGAGGTCTAGAATAAAGATACTTTTCCTCTAGAAAAGATCTGAGTTTTCTTCTGCCAAACTCCTGAAATCACTAACCAGTCCAGGATCTCCTGAATTTAAGATCAAACCACTTAGGTCATTATAAACCTGTAAGTCTATAAGAAGACTGGTTTATTTCTAGTTTCCTACTATTCCGAAAATGTAAGCCTTTGGATACCAGGTGAATAAGAGAAGAGTTATTAGACATCCCCCATCTTGAGCAGAACTACACTTAGAAATTTGTCTCTGTCTTCTCAAGGCTTTCAAAATCGCAGCTTAGCATCTCAGGTGTTTCTTCTCAATTATCAAAAGTCCTCAGGTTGAATGCAACTTTCAGTGCTAGGCTTATTTCTGTTTTTACCTACTCCTAGATTTTGATCTATTTGTATTTCTCACTATGTTCTTACTTCCTTGAAGCTTTCGATGGTATTTTATATTTCACTCCCATGGGAGAGTTGGTCTGAACAACTTATGCCATCATTAATAGAAACTTTTAAAGTCAATTTTAAGTTACGTTATTTGTTTCTTCTGAAGGGAATCAATCTGGTTGTAGACTTTATTTGCTTTCTAAAGTTACTTTTCTCATATATTTCAATATTTTAGTTAACTTCTCTATAACCTTCCCTGTCTAGCAGTTTTGCTGTTGCTTCCTCTTAAGATGCTACCAGTGCCGTGTACTTGAATGGAGGGAACATGGTTTTCCCAGCCCTGTGTGAACACCAGGATTGTTACTTAGATCTAATGCTTTCTGCTGGTTCTTTCCCCAAGCCTCAAAAGTTTCCTCTCCCATGGACACAGATCAGTACTAACCCAAAGACTTCAGAGGGCCCTTCTGTAGATCTCTAAAACACACACTCTTCTGATGCTCTCTGCTTTCCAGTATTTCTGCTCCACGAATTCTAATCACCTGTCCTCCCTGAATTCCAGTATGTCTCTTTTACTCCCTGACACCATCATTCTCTGCTTCAAATCCTTGTCACTGAGCCTGGAAATTGCCTAAGGAGGAAGCTAGAACATTATAGCGACTCACCTTGTTTGTTTTCCTTCTTTCAGGGATCATAATCCTACACTGCTTATTGTCCCATGACTAAACACTGTTTCTTATTTGCCTGGTTTCTTGTTCTTAGAGAGAGGGTAAATCCAGTCCCTGTATTCCATCATCCACAGCAAGGGAAGTCTATTTTTTTTAAATTATGTTCAGTTAGCCAACATATAGTGGAAGTCTATATTTTTACTGCAAAAGCAGTATTTCTAAAAATTGGGAAAATGGGGAAAAATTACCCACAATGACAATATCCTAATGCAGTTATTATCATTTTCTTGGCATATCTACAATTTTTGGGGTCTTCTCCTCAGGCAGCAACACTTCTCTTAACCATAATTTTAACAACTATAAAGTATCCCATCAAGAGAAGTAAGCAATTGCAAAACAACTGTTCTACTGTGGGGCATTTGTTGCTAAATTTTCCCAAAGCTTTTTTGTTATATCACATTCCCTTAATTTGGTTTCTATTAATACCACTCCACTGAAACTCTAATGTTACCATGTAATCTACAGGCTTAATATTTTTGTTTGCCATTCTCTTTGACTAATTTGGTAGAAATTCAAACTTTGACACAGTTCTTCACATTCAGTTCCAAAAGAACTAAGTACTAATGCCTTAAGGTACCTGTTCTAAGTAATGAATTGTCATCTGGGCTGTACATTTAGAATACGAGCTGTGCACCATTCTTAGGAAAACTGAAAAAATGGTTATTCAAATCATGTTCTATAAGGCTTAATACTCACTGTGGAAAAAAAATGGCTAGAATAATCTTAAAACTTTTATCTTCTCCTGTTACAAGTCGTATTATTTTGCCTGAGTTTTTCTCAAAGCTCTCGTTGAGCTCTTCATCTCTATTTCTTCTAACCTTTGCACTAATAAATACTGGGTTCTGGGCCTTCAATTACCGTTTGCATCTCCCTTAGAAATTTTTATCTGATACACACTACTATCTACATGATCTCTAATTTTCTTCAATTTTGATACAAGGCCTGACTCCACAGTTTCTAACCACCTGCCTGGTGTTGTCTACCTATATATCCTCAAACTCAATAAAGCAAATGCCTCCCAATCTTAGCCTCCCAGTCCCAACACCTGGTTTTCATTCAGACACGTCCATTGGAATTAATAACACAATTTACTCAATCACCAAGGTTCAAAACCTGTTTATGTTCAAACCTCCTTTGTTTCTTGTATCCAATCAGTTACGAAGTCTTGACAGCTATTCCTCTGTAATAGCTCCCTTCTTCCCTTAAGTGGCGGAAATCAGAAAATTAATTTCAAGCTTTCATGGCCACATGACTGAGGGATTATGATTTTAGGACTTCATTTCAATCCATCAAAAACACCAGACTAATCTTCATAAATCACAACTTTTATCACATTACTCCCTGAATCTCATCTACTACGACTTAAATATCCCTCCAAGCAAGGTGAGAAGGTGATCAAAGCAGTGTTTCTCAAACTTTATTCTGCATACAAATCACTTAGAAATCCTGCTAAAATGTAGACTTATCATTCAGTAAGTTTGGGAGGAGCCTGAAATTCTGTATTTCTAACAAACTCCCAAGTGCTGCCAATGCTGCTGGTTCAGCAACCACACTTCACATAGCAAAAGTCTGAGGGTAAAAGACCTTACCTTACACCAACTTGGCATTTCTTAGTAATACAAAGCTCAAATTCCCTATCATAACATTCAAGTTACTTTAATGCAGTCCTATTCAACCTTTCTAGCCTTCAATTCTGGTACTTTATATAAATCCTCTGAACAATCAACAAATTATTCAGTGGTTCCATTAATGAGGGTTCTCAACAATGAGCGATCTCTCCCCTCCTCTTCCAGAGGACACTTGGCAATGTCTGGAGACATTCTAAGCTGTCATAACTGCTACTAGCATCTGGTGGGTAGAGGTCATGGATGCTACCAAACAGTCTACAATGGACATGACAGCTCACTACAACAAAGAATTCCAGCCCAAAATGTCAACAATGCTGACGCTAAAAAGAACTCTGCCCTAATGTATGTTGTTTTCTGCCTCCCTGCACTGGCTCATTTATTCTCCCTATACTTACTTCCCTTTTGCTTACCCCAAACCTACCCAAAATTCAAGGACTTTTGTAGACTACTAAGTTTCACCAATCCATTCCTACACCCTACTTAAATAACACTTAAATGGTGTATGACTGCTAAATACTAGGAACTCTTGTAGGCCTGAGAGAGATACAGTTAAATTTTGAAGTACAGAGTTGCAGTCCACCATGTGTTTATAATGGAGAAAACACACAACAAACAGTATGGTAACTGCAGCAATAGCTAAGTTCAAGATACAATGGCAAAAGAGCCAGAAAAGAAAAAAGAAAAAAAAAAACAAACATCAAACTGCAAGTGGGTATATATTTCAACAATGGCTTCTAAAAGGCTGTGGTTTGATAAATAGCAGTTAAATACAAGAATGTAGGAAGAGAGACAGGAAGAAAAAGAAAGCAATCCAAGAAGAAAGAAAAACACATGTAAAACATAAACAGGTATTACCAGAACTGCAAATAGTTCATCATGATTATTAAATTTGTGTTATTAGGAAAAGTGGAGCAAGAGATGAAATACATGAAGCTAGAGACGTAGGCATGGGTAAAATCATGAGTAGTCTTGTACTATAAACAGTCTTAAGTTTTAAACCACTGAGTACTGTATTAATTTAGGGGGAATTACTAAAATTTATGGCAAAAAAAGCCTTTATTCCCATGGGTTCCCTCTTCCACACACAAACTATTATTTTCTAGCCAATGAACTTCTTTTGTGACCTTTTTTACCCTGATGGCCTGCACTTGATTTTTCAGATATTTATTTTATGCCTTGCCTTCTCATCAAAATGTTTCTCAAAAGTATCAATTTCATAAACATGAGTTATATTTTCCCACAGCTGTTCGGGCAGTGTCATAAACATATGAAGTCCTCAAATATTTAATTTTATTTCTAAATAGTATCTTTCAACATGAAAAAATATCTGACAGAGCTGGACGAAACGGCTCTCCTGCATGTCAGAGACCCTGAAATGATGCCTTTAAATCTTAGGGGCTGTGAACTTGTTCACTGCTCGGGAAGCAGAAACTAAGACCAAGTGAGGAGCACAAAGGGCTTTTTACTGGAGTGTAACTCCCAGGAGGAGAGTGAAGGAGGGTTAGGGAGGGGAGCTATCAGCAGATCCAACCAAGTCCCCAACAGACAAACAGGTAGATGCAGAGCAGAGTGCCCATTAAAGGAGTCCTACTGTGAGTGGAAATGGCTAAGGCTGCTATTAATCCTTACTCTATTATTCTAAAAGTACAAGCCAGTATTTCCAAATTGGTATACCTTTCACTGCAAGTGGCTATCTTAATGCTGATAAGCTCATTTTAAATTCCACCATAAATTCTAACTATTATCAGATAGGAAAAAGCAGAAGATTACTCATTATGAGCAATGGCCCAAGATTTAAACAGCTATGAAATGCACAGTAGCAGAAATAAAATTTCATTTCAGAAACAAACATGAAGTTTATCAATGGCTCTAAAACAACTCATTTAAATAAATGGAAAAGGTTATTTAAAAAGGAAGGTTTGGAATTTTGAGAAAGAATACTGAAAATGTCAAAAACACTGAGCACTTAGTATTATAAATAAAAAACAGTATTTCATGAAGAAACTAAAATAACTAAGAACCACATAGCATTATATAGATAGGTAGGTAGATACAAAATTTTGTTTAAATTGAGACAGCCGAGAATCACAGAATTTTAAGACAAAACTTGAAAAATCACATTTGAATTATTTCAAATCTAGATTTATATATATCCAATTACTTTAAAATCTTGAAAAAACTTTTCCTATAATCCTTGCCACTACCACCAAAATATACAATTCAAGCATACCTACCTAATACAGTTACAGTCGTAGAGGACTGAGCATTTCCAAGCGGGAATGTAACAGCTTTGCATATGTATTTTCCAGAATCAGAGAATCCTATGTTATGTAGAGTAATTGTCGCATCATTAAGTGAATAGTTTTTAAATAAGACTCTTCCCTGATACTCTCCTTGAACAGAGAATCCATACTGAGGATGATGAACTGCAACAGTCTGTGAACTTTTGCCATGGATCTTCTCCCATGAAATTTGTGTTATAGTTTCATTTACTTCAATTAAACACTTCAGTGAAACATTCTTTCCCCATACTGCTGTGACATGTGGCTCCACAATAATTGGCCCAGCTAAGGCACCTATGGGGGAAAAAATAGTTGTTAAAATAGAAAGAAGTTATACTAACATATATCATTCTCCCTCCCTTCTTCTTTCCCTCTGTCCCTCCCACAAGCCCTTCTATAGGTGCTCACCTGCGTGTCCATGCACATTCACATACACACATACGTTTATGACTAAATAATAGGAAGGACTCAAAAGAGGCAGATGTTCCCAGGGCTGAATGTTAGACCCAAAGAGTGACTCTCAGATAAATCAAATACCTGCCAATATGTGTCGCAGTGGAAAAAGCACTAGATTGGACCAAGAATAAGCTTGGAAGGAGATTATTCCCCAGTCAAGCCTCCAGATGAGATCCCAGCCCTGACACCTTGACTGCAGTCTTGTGAAAGACTCTTAGGCAAAGAAACCAGCTGAGCCATGCATGAATTTCTGACACAAAGAGGGATAATAAATGCATGTCGTTTTAAAGCCACTGAACTTTAGGGTAATTTATTACTTCACAGTAGATCACTAATACATGAAGGATCTGTCAAACCAAATATAATACTAAAGTATCTTCTGGAGGGTTCCTCTATCAAGAAGCTCTATAAAAAACTTCATTTAAGACAGACCAACTACCAGAAAGCATTAATTTAAAAAACATTTATGTAAATGTGAAATCAATTTTTTTACCCTATTTCGTGGATGAAGAAAAAAATCCCACAAGCAAAAGTTGAAATGACATCAAACTTCTCCCCTGTAATACTGACTTCCTTGGGTCAAATCTAAATTATTTTAGGACAAATAAGACTAATATTTATGAATACTAAAGTCAAGCAAGATGCTGCTCAGTGACAAGTATATTGGAACATATATATAAGCCCTTGGAGAGTGTATGACTCACATGTCTCCTGACAAAATAAATATTCAAATTCAGAAATAAATCAATATAAACACTCAAACATGGAAACTGTAAAAACAATACATTGTATAAATATCATCTTTGAAATTTAAAGTTATGTCTTATTAATATTCTTAAATACAAAAATGTAGAGGGTATCACTTTAAAAATAACCAAGAAAAATGTGTTTAAACATGTTCAAGGAGATCTAAACAACAACAAAAACTTTACAAATTATTATTTCCACCAGCCCTTTTTGGGAGAAAAAAACCATAAATGTATAAGTAAAATATAAAGAAATAGACAAACTATACCATCCAAATTGTAAATGAATTAAAAAATAGTAAGTAAACAAACAAGAGAGCAAACTGTACCATCTAGGAAATGACTGAAGATGTATTACAAAAAAGGATAACACAATAAAAAAAAATAAAAATAAAAAAATAAATTACCATAAAAACAAAACAAAACAAAACAAAAAAGGATAGACAATTCACACTGACTATACTTAACAGTTATGGAAGAAAAAGGTTTTTTTAACCATTGTCCCAAAAAAGTATCAAGTCCTCAAAATTTACCATTGTGTTCTATCATGCTTTCAAGTGTAGATAATTACTAAGCTTTTAAAATTAATCCAAGACATATACATTTTATAAGTACTGTAATGTATTTTAGCAAGCTATCATAAGCCTAGTACTAAACCAAAAATATACAAAGGACAATTTATGAATATTAAAATTTTCACATATTATGAAATAATACCCAGCTTTGTGTTTAAAGAAAAAGACACAATGACAAAGTAGGATATTCCAAGATTGTAAGGATATTTTTAAACTATTTATCACACTGAAAGCTCACATTGACTTTCTCATTTGATGCTGAAAAGGCATTTTATAAAGTTTAGCATTCATTATCTGATTTTTTAGAAAACTCTAACAACTGAGAAAAGAAGGATTCTTAATAATAAAGTAGATTATTTTCAAATCAGTGGCCATCACCACAACACTAAAATAGAAAAAGGGGGCATTGCTATTAAAAAAAGATCAAGACAAAATGGTGCAGTATCATTATCACTGTTCAACTGACAATGGAAATTCCAGTGCAATGAGGTAAAAAAAAAAAAAAAAAAAGAAAGAAAGAAACAGGGAAGGTAAAGCATTAGAAAGGAACAGACAGAATTATTATTTGAAAAACCTATTACCTGAAAAATCTAAAAAGGCCAAGTAAAGGGCTATTAGAACAAATAATATGGGTGCATATAAAACATGCAAAATATATCCAAAATATATAATCAGCATGTTAGGATAGGTGATAACCTTTACAAATTTATTATAGAGAAGACAATATTTGTAAAACATTAATATTTCAAATGCCCATGAATAAAGTTGTAAAGAACTATAAACCTGAGCAACTGACTTGAATAAATGTAAGATATGTCATGTTCCTGTAGGAAAACTTAATACTATTTAGACATCATATCGCCCCATATCACACAAATTTCAAAGCAACTGCAGTGAAATCTCTGATAAAAATTCTTGAAACTAGACTAGTGACAACAGCTAAGAAATATTTCAAAAACAACAATGGCCCAGTAGGAGGGAGGGGAAATGCTAAAATAAAAATAATAAAAAGCTTACTATTAGTATCTGAAAACAATTTAAAGTACACAAACTGACCTATACACACACACACACACACACACAAATATTGATATACAACAAAGTATTTTGTATGAGTGGGGAAATAGCAAATTAGTCAAGATGCTGAAAGGACAAGAGCTAAATACTTGGAAATAGATCCCCGCTTCACACTAAGCGTGCGCGCGTGTGCGCACACACGCACACACACACACAAGGACTGAAGATCAAAATGTAAAAAACAGGCACATATGCCTGCACATATACTGACAATAACTTTGTATATTCTGGCAAATAACGTTAGTTACTCCTAGAGAGTGCGATACTGAGGATTAAGGAAAGAACTTTCAGTTTTTACTTTGTGTTCCTCTTTGATGTCAAAATCATTTATAAGTAATGTTCATAATAAAAGCAAATTAAAAATAAAAATAAACAGAATTAAATCCACCTCAGGTAGAAATGGAAAAGAGATAGGATAAGGTGTTATGGACTGAGTATTTGCACTTCCCCAAATTTTTATATTACAGCCCTAATCTCTAAAGTGATAATGTCTATAGATGGGGCCCTTGTGTGGTAATCAGGTTTATGAGGTCATGAGGGTAGAGCCCCTATGGTGACATTAGTGTTCATATGAGAAAAGGAAGAAAGACAAGCTCTCTCTCTTTCTACCATGTGAGGACAAAGCAAGAAGGCGGCTATCTACAAGTCAAGAAGCGGGTCCTCACCAGGAACTGAATCTGCTCACACCTTGATCTTGGACTGCTCAGCCTCCAAAACTGTGCGAAATAAGTATCTGTTGTTTAAGCCACCCAGTCCATAGTGCTTTGTTACAGCAATCTGATCTAAGACATTAAGTATCAAAATAACCTGGGAGGGATAGTGCTAAATCCTAACTCCTTACAACTGGTAAGAAGTATGGCCTAGTGAGCCACCATTACTGAAGGGGGAAGTATTGGGAGAAAGGAAAAAGAAAAAATGAATCCACTGACTCAAAAACATATTTACATTATTTAAATACACTCTACAGGGCGCCTGGGTGGCTCAGTTGGTTAAGCGACTGCCTTCGGCTCGGGTCATGATCCTGGAGTCCCGGGATCGAGTCCCGCATCGGGCTCTCTGCTCGGCAGGGAGTCTGCTTCTCCCTCTGACCCTCCTCCCTCTCATGCTCTCTGTCTCTCATTCTCCCTCTCAAATAAATAAATAAAATCTTAAAAAAAAAAATTAAATACACTCTACAATATTTAAATAGGGAAAGCCACTCTCAGCATAAAAGAAAAGATAGAAAAACCACCTAGAAAAGGGTTGATAGATTTGACCAGGAAAACTGACCCCCTAGTAAAGAGCTTGAGTAGATTAAAAAAACTACAAATGGCTATTTTTTAGTAAGTGTTTAATTTTACTCATAAGTATTAACATAACTATCAGGTTTTACTTTTTCATCTTTTGTTTTAATATCTAGGAGATAATGAGTAATTTTTACTTTCCAATTTTTCTACAAAATTATTCTGGGTAGTTTTTGCAAAAGTAAACTTTGGCACAATTTTCTGTTGTTTCAATCCTTAAAGCTCTGAGCAAGTTTTGATAATTTGGCTCTCCCTTAGATTCCATGAGCTTCTAATAATGTATCTCCCTTTTTGTGTTTTAGTCAGCCAAAGTGAGTTTCTGTTGCCTGTAAACAAGTGTATAATACATTTCCAATCCTAGACAAAACCCAAAAGTTAAAAACCACTTCTAAGTAAGATTTTCCCCCATGGAATCTTAAAACTGTGGAGAAACAGATTCTCCACCATGGTTCTTAGACCAAAGTCACTATTCGAATGCCTCAAGGTCTCCCAAACACTGAGACTACCCCTTTCCCCCACTTCCCCATATTAAGTGGAGTTTGACAGGAGAGCAGAAGTGTATCCTGGAGAAACATAAATGTTAGTTTCTAAAGACCTAAATTATTTGAAGTTTTGTTGTTTTTTTTTTTTTAAGATTTTATTTATTTATTTGACAGAGAGAGAGAGATAGCGAGAGCAGGAACACAAGCAGGGGGAGTGGGAGAGGGAGAAGCAGGCTTCCCGCGGAGCAGGGAGCCCGATGCGGGACTTGATCCCAGGACCCTGGGATCATGACCTGAACCGAAGGCAGACGCTTAACGACTGAGCCACCCATGCACCCCTGAAGTAAGTACTTCATTAAGAGTGATATAAGTCTAGAATATAAAGAGGCTAAGGAACAGCAAAGACTTGAACTTTTCATATCTGGCAAGACCCTACCTGACATTGTCAGAAGGCGTTCCTGGCTACTATACACTCTAGAGGCCAAAGAAAAACATTCCATTTGTACCATTAACTAATTAATTGACCTTATCATCCTTTCAGAGAGAGAGAGAGAGAAATGAGTGTTTTCTTCCTACTTGTAGCTCCCATGAAAACACTAGAACCATGAAAATAAAACTGTCTGGATTTTTCATGTATATTTGAACAGTCAGTCAGGTTTTAGAGCGTACAGAGAA